GGGCTCAAGCGAGTCTCCTGCCTCCACCTCCCAAGTAGCTGGGACCACAGGCACCCGCCACAATGCCTGGCTATTTTTTTTTTGGTTGCAGCCGTCATTGTTGTTTGGCGGGCCAGGGCTGGATTTGAACCTGCCACCTTAGGTGTAGGTGGCTGGCACCTTAGCCACTTGAGCCACAGGCGCTGAGCCTTTTTTTTTTTCTTTTAAAGAGACGGAGTCTCACTTTGTTGCCCTTGGTAGAGTGCTGTGGCATCACAGCTCACAGCAACCTCCAGCTCATGGTCTTACGCGATTCTCTTGCCTCAGCCTCCTGAGTAGCTGGGACTACTGGTGCCTGCCAGAAGGCCTGGCTATTTTTTTTGTTGCATTTTGGCCAGGGCTGGGTTCGAACCTGCCACTCTTGATATATGGGGCAGGTGCCCTACTCACTGAGCCACAGGCGCTGCCTAAATAAGGATCTTGAGTTAATGCATAAATATATTCAAGGTTAAGTACCTGGAGTCATTTATACTTTAATATTGGAGACCTACTATGCAAACTTCTGCAAGTGGTTTTAGAAACAGTTGTATCTAGGTTCAGCCCTGCCAGTGGTGAAAGAAGCACAGAGACTGAAGTCTAGGATGAGAAATAACCCAGCCCAGTTAGCCACCTGTTCTGCCTCCCTTTCCTGTGGGACAGAGAGAGTGTTCCTGGCACACACTGCACAAGAGGCTGTAACAGCCAATCCCAGGGCTCTTGATAGACACTTCTATTCATAGTTCTCAAGAAATGCTGGAATCATTAGGATGTGTACTTCTGAAAGAGCAGGCACATTAGTCCTGATTATATAGGTATGCAAACTGTGCATCCGCTGCAAACTCCTTCCCAACTTACCACTACTTTCCCCATTATATTTTCGACAATTCCTGAACATAGTCTTCATGTCATTTACAAACTCCTCCTTGGTACAGTATAAGCCTCCATTCAGTTTTTTCTCCATGCTTGAAATATCCATGGGGACCTAAACAAGACATATAACTTCATTGAAATATGAAGAAAGAGACAAACATCTCCTAGTCCATACAAGGCAAAGGAATCATGACAGCATGAGCTGCTCAAGAGCCTGGTATATATTCAGCAATGCTAAGCCTCATGAACAACACAGAAAGAAAGAAACAAAGAACAAAACCCAAGGAATATACGTATGCTATGGAAAGTATAACTGCAAAGACAGCCTCTACCTTAATAATCTGATAATAGTTAGGGGCGTAAGATTCATCCACAGGTTCCAAAAAGGGCCAGGAATCCTTGTGAGCCTTCACCACATCTAGAACTGAGAACCAAAGAAGAGAACTTAACACTCTGGCACAGGATTACTCCTATCAGAAACATAATAGCTGAGTGAGAACCCACCTTTATACATGGCAGTGAAATCATCATCCAGCTCAAAGCTGTAAATCATAAAATAAGAAATTAATAGTTAACTCTGACCACTATGTCTTCTTAGCTCTTTTAGGTTAATCACAGACACATTGCTGACTAATACTGGGAATAGTCCTAATATTAGTAATTTTTTTAAAGCCAAGTCTGTAACCCTCATAAAACTCTAAAAAAAATGAGGAACAGTATGCCTCAACAAAAAGGGGTTATCAGTTCCTTTATGTGTAAAATGATGGGTTTGGTCAGAAGATCCAAACTTCATCATTCTATAACATTAGTTATTTCATGAGTCTATTAGTTATTTAGAGCCTATTTTCTTTTGACTTAGCCAAGCTTTACTTTACTCTCATTTTTTGTGATCTAAATAATACTAATCAAAAAAAGGCACATAATATAACAAGCTTGTGAACACTGAATATTTACTTGCCTCTTTTTAGTAAGGAGTAAAAACATACAACACATAGTAACATACTAAGAAGTAATTTTATTTCTAAAAGGTAAACTGCTATTCACATTTCCAAGTGAAAATTTTACATAACAATCATTAAATTAAAGGACTGTGGAAAGAAGAGCTGCTTTCGTGTGTGATGGCAAGAGTGTCAGAGGGCAGGGCAGGAGATACTTGGCGAGTGCATGCATAGCAGACAGGGCACTAGAGGCAACAGTAGTCCAGTACCTACCTCAGTAACCTGCTACGTTTTCTCACTTTTCAAGTGGTGATAACTACCATACAGGGTGGTCAAAAGGATTAAATGAAAAACATGCTCAGCAGTCCCTGAGTGCTTAATAAACAGCACCAGCTACTACTGTTATTAAATACTCACAGGTCCTTGGTCTTTTTCTCTTCCCTCATGGGGGAATTGGGGTCCAGATGGGAAAGTTCTGGAGGTAGCTCCTTCCCTTGTGCCAGGAGCCATGCCCTTTCTTCCCTGAGCTTTCTTCTTTTAGCACGATCTATAGTGAATACACAAGATGATGGCCTAAGTTGAGTAAACTCTGGATGATTACACGTGCCTTAATCATTGTCAGAGAAGGAAGACAGACCGACCACCGAAGCTGTATTATGTTTGCTCCCTTTGCTCCCCTTTTTTGTTAATTATGATGTTTCTATAGGTGGAATGCTTCATGAAAAGTATGAACTAGTGGGGACTTGTTTCCTCATCCTGAGTTTAAGTTAGGGGATGAGGGTGCAGAGGCAGCCATGTTGCAGGGAGGAGGGGAGGAAGCAAGGCAGAAGAAAGAAAAAAGAAAAATGGAAGGAGAAAAAGAGAGGCCTTTTGTCTCTTTCAAAAAGGAAAAATCCATTTTTTATGTGCAGACTCAGCCTAAACACACACAGGATTTACACATACACCCAAGCCTTCAAGCTTCTGCATTTCCTAAGGTGTCCATGCACACCACCTGTCTGCGCTCCATTTACCCCACTGTGGGAAATAGGCCCCTACTGGCAGTGGTAGTGAGAAGTTTGACTGGAAACAAGGGAAAGATGTCAGCTAGATCTGGTGAAGAGCTGGAAGGCAGGGATGATATTTTTTTTTTTTTTTTTTTTTGAGACAGAGCCTCAAGCTGTCCCCCTGGGTAGAGAGCGTGGCATTACAGCTCACAGCAACCTCCAACTCCTGGGCTCAAGCGAGTCTCCTGCCTCCGCCTCCCAAGTAGCTGGGACCACAGGCACCCACCACAACGCCCGGCTATTTTTTTTTTGGTTGCAGCCATCATTGTTGTTTGGCGGGTCCGGGCTGGGGATTCGAACCCGCCACCTTAGGTGTACGTGGCTGGCGCCTTAGCCGGTTGAGCTATAGGCGCCGAGCCTGGGGATGATATTTTTTGGCTCACAGCCATAGCCATGAGAAACACACTTGGCATTCCATTCCTGGCCTGATGGGGGCACTTACCGCTTGCAAGAACAAGGAGGTTAGGAGCAAAAAGTAGAGGCAGTGAGATGAACAAAACCACTATCAGACAGCAAGGCACAAAAATGGAAGTGAGGAGAAGCCAGGACAGATCCTCTATTCTCTTTCTGACTCCATTCTCTAAGGGATAAGTTCCATGCCTGCCCACTGCTATGAGCACCACATGATTCTGCACAGTGCTCTGTCACGGTCCTGCTGACTTCTATTTCTGTACCTAAATTATTTACAGTAACCTGATCTCCTTTAATTAATCAAAAGCATTTTATTATCACCAAATTTTCATATCCTTTTTTCTGGGGGAAAAAGAACAATTTCAAATTTTAAATGTAAATTAATGAATAATCATATCCACCAGACTGCCAAATCATAAACAGTTTGTCTCAGTTACACCAATACAGCATTCAATTTATGATCGGTCCTTAGCTTAACAATCCATTGACTAAATGATTTCACAATTTTGTAACCAATATGCTTAATAACATTTTTTGGGGGGGGGCCGAGGCTGAGTTTGAACTCACCACCTCTGGCATATGGGGCTGGTGCTCTACCCTTTTGAGCCACAGGCGCCATCCATGCCTAATAACATTTTAAAAACCATGTCTTCTGAAGCATGTTGCTCTAGGACACAGACCCAGCAGCAGAATTACCACATAGTTTCTCTATGTACTTTGCATTCACCAGTAATTAGGATGCTACTGAGTAGTTTCAAAGAGTGCTATCCAAAGGGTTACATCTACTCTTTTTTATATTATCTACTCTTAAATAGAAATTTCAGTTACTTCATAGTCAGTATGATAAAATTTCTGCATTTTGCCCAACTGATGGGTGTAACATAGAATTGTGATGTTTTCATTTGGGTTTTCCTTATTGGAATGATATTGAACATGACTGTCATGATTTCTGGACATTTAGTTGCTCTCCTGTAAATTTTCCACTTATATACACTTTGCCTGGTTTTTATATTACTATATATTGTTAGAGTTCATACTGATTTGGGGAACTACTATCTGGATAAGTCTTTGATTATATACTAAATTATTTTCCTTCACTTCATGGTTTGTCTTTTCACTTTGTTTACGGTGTGTCTTTGTCATAACTGAGTTTTTTTTTTTTTTT